GATATATACATTGTTAGTAAATAATATTTATTAAAAACTTTTGTAACAACAACACTAGTCAGTTATATCTTATAGTTTTATGCATTATAAAATTTTAAGATATAACTGACTAGTATATATATATATATATATATATATATATATATATATATATATATATATATATATATATATATATATATATATATATATATATATATATATATATATATATATATATATATATAAAATAGTGCTTTAATGAACCCAATTACCTACTTTTATCTTTTCTGACTAAATATCATCTCCAACCATAGCAGTATCCCTTTATCCTTGATATCCCATATATAATCACTATAAAACATGTGTATATAATTTGTAATAGATTCATATTTAGAGCTTAATATGTTTTTAAAACAAATTATTTTGGTCTTGAGTGCAAACTTTAAATACATATTTGATAACGGGCATGAAAAATAATTTTTATAGATTTTATGAAAACCTTGTATTTAAAGTGCCTATTAGTGACTCGTTTTTCTGTCTAGAATATACGTATTATTTTTTGTAACCCAATACTTTTCTTTCCTCATCCAAGTCTAGTCTGTGAGAGAAGCTCACTAACAACCTGCCAATATTTTAAGATGAATTTCCCTGACTTTTTTTTGATATTTACCTGATCCACTACATATTTTTTCCTGATTTAATTAAATTTTTTAATAACTAATTTTTAATTAAAAATTAATTAAAATTAAAAAAATAATTAATAATTACATTTATTAATAAAAGTAGTAATTTAGTCAAACTCAAATTTAGAAAAATAGACTTAAAGTCTTCTAAAAAAACACTTAATTGCAATACAATGATAAATAAAAATCAAACATTAATACAGAACACAGAATATATATATATATATATATATATATATATATATATATATATATACATATATATATATATATATATATATATATATATATATATATATATATATATATATATATATATATATATATATATATATATATATATATATATATATATATATATATATATATATATATATATATATATATATATATATATATATATATATGTATATATATATTCATATACCTCGTTTCTGTGTTTTTTGGTTTCCCGTTTTTGTCAATTTTTTTTTTTTTGCCAACCTGATGCCAACATTTAAAAGTTTGATATATATATATATACATATATAAATGAGTTTTTTTTTTTTTGATTGAAAAAGCATAGACAAACAACAATATTAGCACTTTCAATTCAAGCAAGTCCTAATCTTTGATTATGCCATTAAAAATATAAGTGAAAGGCTTTAGTGTCAGTAACTCTTCTGGCGTTAAGGCTCACAACTTTCTTAATCTCTAACAGAAATAGTCAATTTTCCAACTTTTTTTCCAGACGATCGGAATCATTTTCTCTACTTGAACTATGTCTTATGTTTCATTCTATTCATCCTCACCACTATGAATCCCCCTATCACCATACTTCTTATAACTACCTTAGCGCTGACTTTTTCTATGATTCTTTTTTGTGATGGCCCTAGGGTAGAAATATTTTGTCTTCTGATAAATTTGCTTTTTATGTAATTTTTTGGATTAAGACTGTTATGGAATATTTTATTTCTTCTTCACAATTTCCGAGTCAAGCTTTTCAAGATTTTTCTCTAATTGTGCGGCTGCAATATCCAATCATTACCATTACTTCCATATCTATCAGCAAAACAATTCTCTAGAAAACAGACATTTGTTTACTATTGCTAGAAACCATTGTAAAAAGGTTTTGTCTAATGCTAAAACTCACTAATCTCAGGTCATGAAATCTCGTATTTTATCTCAAAAATTAGGCTCTCATGACTTCTGGAGAATCTTTAACAGTATCAATGATAAGGGCAAATATGTTATTCCACCTCTCTTGTACAGTTCAGATTTTGTCACCTCACCTAAAGACAAAGCTGAATTGTTTGCTAAGTACTTTTCATTAATTTCATCTCTTGATTTCACTAAATAGGTTCTACCTGATATAGTCAACAAACAGGTTGATCCATTCATGGAAAGCGGCATCAGTTATCCCTATTTTCATTACTTTTCAAAAATTCTAGTGAGAGATCTGACTAGTCTAACTACCATCCCATTAGTCTTCTTCCATCTTTGATTAACAAGCATTTAATCTCTCATCTTGAATATAATAACTTACTTTCTGATCATCAATATAAATTTCAATATTTTCATTCAAATGCTGATTTGTCAACAGTAATAACCAATAGGTTTTATTGTGCATTAATTGGATGTGGAGAGGTTACTGCTATCAGTCTTGACATTTCTAAAGCCTTCTAATTTGTAAAGTTTGACATACTAGTCTTCTCCAGAAGCTCCCTTTTTATGGTGTATTAGGTAACATCTTAAACATTTTTAAGTAATTGATTTTAATTTTTTCACAAATAAATATTCAATTAACATTACTTTATACTTCATACTGTTTTATTTATTTTTTATTTGTTCAAAAA